ATTCATTCATAGCTGGCCATATTTTCAAACCGTTCTCCAATCGTAAATTCGTTTTGAAGTCGATGTCTTTCAAATGATTGCACAGTGGTGCAAAGAGGTAAACAAATAACTGTGAAACGACAAAAATTTACCTTCGACGAGTTTTTTTAAATAAACATGTAACATGTAAAAAATGACTCACACTCATAGTAGGTATAGAAAATAGGTAATAAAATGGATTTCCAGGATCGGTGTCGGTTTCAGCACATTCTTCGGCGGCGTCGAGGATTATCCAATGCAAGATATAAAGTAGCGTCGTTTCCATAGCTCCGAGGCTTTGAAAATCCTTCCTTGAAGAGACACGAAACAATTGGCGTAAAATGAGATCGCAAAGTAGAAAGTTGTATAGAAAGAAAACTGTAAAAAGCAGACAATTCACCTATTGTGTAGAAGATTGGCTGTGGCGTGGAGAACGTAGGGGAGAGCGGTTTGGATCAAACGCCATCGTGGCACAGTGCCCAATATCAATCTCAAAGAGGGTGTTAAATCATTGTGAAGATTCTGAACCAACACCTTCTCCAGAGACTACGGACATACGTTTAAACGCTGTTTAAAGAGCTCGAAACGTTCAGAAGAATGAATAGTGTCGACTGAAACTTCAGGATAATGAGGTACTTAAATCATAATAGATCGAATCAGAATTTAATATGGTCAACAGTGAATGTTGCGGTAAAATTTTGAATTATGCAAAATCTAGGAGTACATTACTGTTTTGCAATGAATTAATAATGATGGTGTTATATGCTTGAAATACTAACCGTACAAGCCTCCTTTGTCTCCTACGTATGCGTTAAAAGATACATAATTAAAATTAATAGATCGTTCCTTTTCAACACGTTAAAAAGAAAATTCCAGTATTACGAAACGATGAGAAAAAGTACTAAGTAGGAAAAGAATATCTGCGATAAGCTGAGTCACAAAACAACGAATGTGTATTTTAAAAGAAAAGACACCAATTGCAGTTTTCGAAATATCTGCACACTACATAAAAGAAAAACACGAATACTACACATTGTGAAAAATACGATATTAAAAAGAAATTGTAAAAATTTTATGAAAAGGTGGCATGCAAATGCGCAGGTATTTATTATTCCATAATGATTTTTATCACATAAAAAGAGGAGAAACACATTAACCCTATTGAGTTCTTCGTTTCAACTGTACACTTAAGACTTTTGGGTCAAAAGGGACCTAAGATCTTATGTGTAATAATTTTTGTTTCCAGCGCGACATATGTACCTAGACAATAAACGTTTGAAATAATGTTAAGGAACGTAAACTTGATAACAGCAAAAATTACTAAAAATATAAAAAGACGGTGGGTCAAAAGAGACCCGAAGACCGCTCTAGGGTTAACTTATGACATATAAATTAGCTTTCCAATTTGAAACGGTCTACTTATTTGATTTATTTGATTTTAAGTGAAAAATGCTATAAAAAAATACTTAACAATACAAAAAAGTTGGAATAATTATTTGGAAAGGTTTTCAGTGTCGCAGACAAATTAAAACTAACATTGGTATTTGTACAAGAAACGTGCAATAAAGCGTTAACAAGTAGTAGGACATTTTTTTAGAAATTGTACAAGAGAAAAAAGAAAGAGAAAAAAAGCAAGCATATAATTACACAAGTAAGTTCAGAAGCACGTGGGCAGGCAATTAGGTATGAAGCTTAGCGAACTTACATGATGGCCTGGCGCGCGTTGACAGAACTGCAGGTGACACGTGGAGGCGGCAGCGTGGAGGAGGTTACTTTGTTAGTGCAGGCCAGGTAGGTATTGGATAACAAAAGGCTAATGGGATATGGTCGATAAGGATTTTGCACAGTATGAAATCCTGCTGCATTTCTCCGTAAGTTCAATTTCGATTTTCTCACAGATTGCAACTAATCTATAATATCGAAGCTTTGGATTTCACGAGTGCAAAAAAGCTTAAACGAGGTCCTCTTAGTAATTTAACGCGATTTAGTCGGAACTAGCAAATTCTTCTTTCACTTAAAGGATTTCAGAATAACTCGTTAATTTTTCGAATTATCATCTACGAATTTATTGCCATTGGATTATTTCACATGTCATTGTTGCGTTTAACTACATATAAATACATTATACTAAAAGAAAAAAAGGCAGATACATAATGCAAAATTAAAATTAACAATGTAAAATTTACACCTGCATGTACTTGTGTCACCCTACATCTCATTTAATCCTCGAAAAGCAGGTTATCCCGTTCAACGTAGCTTCCGAAATATTAGCATTTATAGATTAAAGTGGTATGTATTGAAATTAGGAAAAAATTCGACTAAACTTCGTCTTCTCTGTTCACGTGTCGCTGTTAAATTTGATGTGAAAAGTATACCGTGGTAAATAATTAAGGCAAATTTCTAATAGGAAGTACAATCAATTTTTCATGGACAATCACGAAAGCAGAAAATTTGGACAGAACGATGTTTCGTTCCTCCGTTAGGTAATGGAGCGTAAGCACATCAACGATTTGGAAGTTTTTCAGTTTAATTCTGTGGACTGAGATATCAGAGATATCAGATCTTGTACTATAAGATTATATACAAAATATACCGCTGTTCTCCTTAGCTAAAATATCCTATCTAACAATTTCTCATAAAGAAATATTTCAAGCTCCACATGTTTTGCACCTCTTAACCCTTTCGTGACCGAAAGTGATGAATTTCTTATTTACCTACAGATTATCGTGCCTCTAATGGATTCTAAATTCAGATCAATTCTTGTTCGAGCATTCAAATGAGACATATCCGTACTACTGATCACGAAAGGGTTGAGCAAAGTTGGAACGCTCCATGTTTATGTGCTTTCTAGAGCTCTAGAAGCAGCATAATTTATTTATCCTAAATTTTTCACAGATGGTACAACCTCGTTGAAACTCATTTTTCTTGAATTTTCAAAAAAAGTTAGTTAGGACAATTAAGCTAAGGACGGCAGAACGGTTCTCACTTATTGTTAGTTGTACTAACTATGAAAATTCTTATGACTCCTTGCTATAGAATTAATTCACAAACACAATTCATAAACATTGTAAACTTTCTGCAGTGTTCTGCTACTAATTGCTTGTATATTTTACACGCGCACACATATGCTCACGCACATACACTCATTTACACCGTTTGCCCTTCTTCACAACTCAAAAAAAAAAATAGAAAACACTTATAAAACTGAAGGTGTGAATTTTTACCGTGCAGGATGCTTCATGGAGCTTGCCGAGTTTCGCACGAATGAATGGCCTGCGATTATACAAACATTATATTGTATTTCATAAAGCTTACAATACGACGATACATTAGAAATTTACAAAACGATGTCGGAAATGAAAAATTTCAAAGTAGAGATACGTAAGGAATATTTTGTAAACTGTGTACAACTTTGCGTACTTTCGTATTCTTTTGCTTGTCACTTAACAATTTGAACGAATCATCGATTACAGAAATCTTCTGATTATTCTTTGAAAAAGAAAAAACAAACAAAACATCATACTATGTCGTCGATGATAACAAGTTAAACGCAGTATGTTGAAATGTAGCTAAAAGAAAGAACGTATCGTAGCAAACATCTATAAACGAGGCTTTCCATAAATTAAACGATTATCAACGAGTAAAAAATTTCTCATGAATTGTACCTCAACTGTTGCCAAAGGAACATCTGAACCGGAATCGGCAGAGCCTGTTCCTGTAGATTTCCATCGATAGACCGACGTTTGTGCATCTTTGCGGCAGAAACGTCTAAAAATCATCGCAACCTTTATCATTATTCTCGCTACTATAAAAAAAAAAACAAAAAAAAAGTGTCGAAGAAGAAAAAGTCCTACGATACGATCTTAATGCCACGTGTCTCACCTGACAATAGCAAATATCCTCCTGTTCACTTTCTAACAGCATTAATCCGTTTTCTACGTGTTACTCTAAGCACATTTCGAAAGCTTCACCCTGCCATCTCGTTAATCAATTTCTCTTCGATACTGTAACAATTCGTTTTTCTTTTTTCCTTTCTCTCTTAGTGTTCGTAGATACTTAGATTTTTTTTTTTTTTTAATTATTGCGCACCTGCGTTAAGGTGTAACAATGACAGTGTTGAAATTGTACGAGAACGATTCCGTTAACAACTTGATCACGCACTTGCTTTCCCTCCCTTAAACGTTCAAGGATCTTTATTCTCGATGCATTCATTGGATGTGACTGCGGATGCAAAAGGGGAGAAGCAGCAGCAGCACCGTTCAAGAAGAGGATCACGTGCCACTCGGCCTAGTGACACAGTTGCATCGTTCTTATCAGCAGGTGTTCACTCACCAAACAGTGGATACACCACCACGGCAGGATCGTGAGTAACTGGAAGTCGCCGTAGACGTAATGCTGTTGGAAAGGATGGGAATGCGCGCGCTACTCTTGGAAAATCCAATGCGCCGGTCGTTGCATCGATCAGCCCAGGAATCTGCTAGCTGGACCACCCCTACTTTAACAGTAGCGACCCACCCTTCTCGCCGTATACCTTCGCCAACCCACTTATCCTCCTAGCACATATTGCGTAAACGAAATCTTTCGTATCACAACTGACCGATTTAACATTTCACAGCATAATTACGGCTGGCAACAACTTGCTAATCATCCGTGTAACTGAAATTCTAACGCAACTTGGAAAATTGTCGTTTCTTGAGATTCTACTTGTACAAGTATTCTTTGAATTTAGAAATTTTTTGCAGGCACTTCGGATTAGGTTAGGTTTAAAATTTTGATTTGGTAAACGTCGGCGAGATTGGTTCAGAAATAAACGATAAGGTAGCGTAACGTAGGAAAATGGAAAATTTTTATTGTAATTAAGGGTGGATATTTTTCATTTTGAAGAAAGGTGAGACGCTTATTTTGAAGTGAGAAAGGTGAAAGGTGGAAAAAGTGGCGAAGCCACCTCACATACAGGCAAAATTGAAAGCACCCAAGACTGCTTATTCAGCTTGATTGGAGACCACTTCAATATCACAAACGTCATCATTTCGAACTTTAATAAATTCACTGGCTCCCTTAAGGGTGTCAAGACGCTCTTTCTCAGTGAGAGCCAGTTGCCTACCGAGACACTTCTCGATATCTCCCAGTGTTATGTCCATCTCGAACACGATCTCCTTGCTGCGTGTTCTTCTCTCCTGTTTCAGTTCTTCGAAGGGAGTTGAAGTAATTTCTATGTATACTTCCGTGTTTTTATCATTTGTGTCGGCAATTCTTCTCGCTTCGTTATTAATAGCTTCGCAAATATCACGCCAAAGGTCTTTCTTGTTAGGGTGCAAGCTTTCGACGAATCGTTGGAAGCTCTGCCAGTCCATTTTTTCTGTATTTTCAAGAACTTTTCGGTAAAGCAGTAAAATGTCCTCGATTTTCTGGCTTTTTTCATTATTGTCAATGATACTTTTCAAAGACGACTCGTTATAAATAATTCGACGTGTAATATTTTCAGAGCAATCACCTGAGAAACTATCAGAGTGCCCTGAAGATTCTCTATTTGCGTCAACGTTTTTAGATTTCGTGGATTTTATAGCTGTTGCACTCTTGAACCATCCAAGTAACTGTTTCTTGAAACACCTTTTACTCTCACAATTTTCAATTTTTTTGAAGTTTGACGTATCTATTTTGTGATCTATCGATTTCTGACTGTTCTTAATAGCTGTCTTCGATACAGTTGGTCCGCTTGGATGGCAAAGTTTCAACTGACTCCATGACAATGCCGAGCGCCATGTTTTCTTAGCGCTATGAGGTTGCAAATATTGCTCGTCAATTGATTTCTTTACATAGTAGAGGCATTTTTTATCATTCCAGAATGTTCGAGGTTCTGCGTTCAAACCTATTACAGAAAGCTTCGAAGTGCCTGATTTTTTACACGTCTCGTCGTGAATGTTACTTTCTCTGCTGCTTCGAGGGGCTTTTATCCATTCGCGTATCAAATTTTCTGCAGACGAGGAACTAACTATTGTAGCGTTGCTTTCGTTAGACTGTGCCAACGTGTCAGAAGCCTTGATACAATTTTCCAGCGAATCATCCTCCATTAAATACGTAGGACTGCTAAACTGCTTAATATTTCTAATAGGTTCAATGTGCTTGCAGAATTGTAAATAATTCTGAGAATTCTTTGGAAGAGCGACATTTTTTGTGATTTTATCCGATGGCGGCAATTCATCACACGTTAAAAATTCAGAATTTACACGTGAATTTTTCTCTTTATTATTGTGCAAAAGAAAACCACGTCTGTCGGTATGATGTCTAGAATGTCCGCAAGTTCTTTCACATAATTGCGAAACGAATTCTTTTTTCTCTCCGCCTCTTGATTCAGCCCGGTTACGTGCCAAACATGTCATTACACTAATAGACGGAGTCGTATCGTCGAGAACATTTCTTAATCGATCGTGTTTATTTTCCACGTTTTTTACACGATTTCGCGCTATAAAATCGTCTAGCCGTGATTTCGATTTTTCATACGAGATGTTTTTTACAATCTTTTCGTTGCACACGTTCAAGCTTAATTCACCCTTGCTCAATGCTTTCCATTTGTCCCGTTTATTATTCGCAAACTCCGCTGTACAGTCCGTTCGATCGAGATATTTGTCACAGAGTGAATTATTTGTCAAATTGGCAGTGGCGCCGCTTAAAGTCGTATCTTTATCTTCAAACTTAAAATTAGTTTCTATTTGTTGGGACCTGCTATTTTTAATTGTTGCTATTGGGATTCCTTTGAGAGACTTTGCTAAACCAGATTGCTTTGTTATTTGTGAATTTCTAAAATAGTCCTGTAACTCTACTGTATCCCTTTTTAAACTTCTTCCACTTATCACGTCGCGTGTCTCGTTATCGTTTTCACGTTCAGCTACCATAACTTCGACGTTTTCTTGCGGGTTGTTCATACAAAACTGATTCTTTCCTTTAACGATCACTTCCCTCGAGACACAAGTTTTCCCGCGGTCTTTATTCTGTTTGTAATTAGAACGATTTCTTCTTCTTCCAATACGTTTCGTCGTTTCTTCTTTCACAGGACAACAGTTCTTCGTGTCCCTATACATTTGGGAATAATCGTCGCAGTTGCTGAGAACGTCCGACAATTTTCGCGTACGTGAAAAGTTAGGAGCTTCGGATTGTAGTTTTTGCGATTCGACAGAAGTATACGATGATTTCGAGCAACTAATTACTCCGCATCGTTCGCACATTTTCATCGAAGGATCGCTCGAGAGAATTTGCTCCAACGTTTTGTTACCAAATTGACGTACAAAGGACTGTAACGTAGTCAAAGTATCGTGAAATCTAACCTTAGACCACAAAGAACTCTTGGATGACGATTGTTTCAGTGAATTGTAGATTCTGCATACTGCATCCAATTCGATCAAAGGACCTTCGTTTACATTTTGGCCGATCCGTTTGGCAGAACGATCGTTCGAACGATTCAAGCATTTCTCATCCGCCTGCTCGAGAACTTTGTTTATCGACTTTTCCATGTTAGAATTACGTGCATAATGCCTTAACAGCAGATCGATATCAAAGTGTCTGTCGGAGTTTCGAGGCGAATCTACACTTTGCTCGCAAGATGAGAAACGTTCAACGTTTGATTTCGAGTTTACAGAAGACGGCACGTTCTTTTGTGCATTATTTCGAACGTACGAAACTTTCAAACTGTCACATTCGTGAATTGTACTCAAAGTTTTCGCTGAGTACCCATGGACACTCTCGGTTGAACTTTTTGCAACAGGCTCGAAGATTGTTACTTGTACGTACTTATTCTGAGCCATCCTTAGGGAATGCAAACTTATCGAGTTTCTTAGCATTATCAAGTTGAGATACTTCTATTATCTTACATTGAAGAAATTGACATTTCTTTTCTACGCCATAATCAGTGAAATAAACCATTTTACAGCATTCATCGTATACAAGTTTGATAGTAATTTAAATGATAATAAATTCTCTCCTAAAATATTTGACAATTGCCTTCACTTATTCCGTAAATCAAATCCCTTTTAATCCAATTTCGGGTTAACTTTGCTGATGAATGAGTTAATTTTTCGAAGTAATTATTGCAATAGTTTGAGGTTGTATTACGTTTCACATAATTGCTTTGTATGAAGTAAGCAAATACACCTTGATAATAAACGTTCAACGTGTTCCTGCATCTTCCAGAGTGTAAATGTGCATTTTTCAAGTTTACTTTAGGGTATCGATAACCCTATATAAATTTTCTACTTAATTCATGCTTAAGTTTATTATCGATAGATACACCGAATAAAGTTGATCAAATTAATATGAAAAATTTACGCGACAAGTGCGTATATGCAACACATATTTGTCGTGTATACGTAAAATGTGACAATCGTTGTCGACAACTGCGACTTCAGTTCTCATCCAGCTGACAATGTCTCAAATTATGGTTGAAGCTTTTGCAAGAAGTTTAATTGACAAGATAATGGTAGATGCTTTTTACGTGGTGCATAGTAACGATGGTAAACGATTAGATTTTATATAAACAACGCTCGATTAAACGTTACCTCGTTTATCAAAAATTCCGTACAATACGCTACATTATGTCAATCACATTTTTTTTTTAATATTACGACTAATATATTTAATACAAGCGTCATTCATATATTTGAGAATAGAAATGTTAATTTTGCCAAATTAAAATCGACGAAAATAACGTTGCCAGAAAAATTACAAATGCTGGAAAATCGAGAAGAATCGGCTGGTGTTCAGTCGGAATCTCCGCGAATAACGCTGCAAATGCAGGATCGACCCTGTGAAAATTACAACGAATTTGACACCAAGGATCTAATAGAGAATATGGTACATCATTTAAGAAATCTGCAAATTGGAGATTCGACGTCTGTGCCGCCTCGTCTATCTAAATTAGAAAACCAGGTAAACAGACGGAAACAAAATTATTACACCGAATACAATACAAAATTCTAAATTACATCGCAAAAAAATTCTTATCGAAATATACCTTTCTCAAAGCTGAAATTAAAATTACACGTTAAATTCTATTTCCTTCGATTATGGTTCAAAGAAATTCTTATCGAAGTGTAACTTTGACAAAGCCATAGTCAAAATTATACCTCAGATTTGATTTTCAATCTTCAAGTATGAAAACATTTTCCTCAATCACGGTTCTAACATTCAATTTGTCAAAATAGGTAAAACATGTCGCATGCAATGTCGACAATATTTCACCAGCGGACTCCCCCGAACTTGCAGAAGCGCATATAACTCAGGGTCAAGGTGATGTGCATCAGGTAATACACAACGCAGTCATCGAAACAACGACAGATCCCACCGATACTCGTTCAGAAAAGGACACTAACAGTTTAAACGAGGCAACAAAAGTATCCATTCACGTGCTGCACCGAATGATCGAGGAGCTCGAAAGAAAAACCGGAAAATCCGACCAGAAGAAGGAAATTGAATTGGAAGCTGTTAACAAAGAAAAAAGCCCAACGTGGGAAGAATCAGAGAAACAATTGATAAGAACGATCGAAAACGTCGATGACCTTGAACAAACTACCATTAATCCCATATCTGAGGGTAATTCTAAAAACGACCTACGCGAAACCACATGCAAAGGAAGCACGTCTTCGTCTATCGTCGATTCGACACTTTTCCCAAAACATACCTGCCTGGAGGAAGTAGCAATGGAAGAAATTACAGCTTCGCCTTTCCCCGATCAGAAAGACGCTTACTTCTCAAACTTAACGTTGCATAAGATGAAAAAATTCCCCTCGAATGACTCACAACCGGAAGGGACTAAGAGGAGAAGCATTTTAAGCAGAACAGGGAAATTACTCCGACGAATTTTCGGCCATCGGAAGAAATGAGTTCGAAACGTCGATCGACAGATTCGATTTTTTTTTCCTCGACGTAGTTGCTTTTTATGTCCACATATAAACCTACTTTTTAAGACAGAAATGCGTCGCTTGTCCACATCAAGCTGATAAAAATAACTCCTTTAGTCTAGTCATCAGGCTAGCTACAGGTATAATGTAACTTGCGTACATACACGAAGCTTTCGCGTAGTTATATACCGATCGTTCCTCCGAAAACACCCGTTGAGGAAAGTTTATGTATCCAAAAAAATTTTACATAATACAATCGTATTTTTTTTTTTCGAGAAATATACATACGTATATATGCCTATGTTTGGTTTGTTCGTCGTTACACGTTTTGTTTAAGGTGAAATTGTAAATTAGGCGATGTTAAGGTTTATAATAAGGTGGTGTATCGACATTGAAGGCCACACGATGTGTATTTTCGTTTGAGCCGTGTATACCGAACGTTGGAAATTTGGCAGCCCTGACATATGAAAGCTACCGCCGAAAAACCATTTATCGTAGCAGGAAGCACAGTTTAACCCGTGATTGCATCTCGAACTGTTTTTGGACCGCGGCGTTGCCGATACCCCTTTCGTCTGAACCGAGCGCTTTCCGAGCTGGACCTCCTTGTAATTCTCGTGTGTCCTGATCACCGCGCCATCTACAGAAATAAAATGAATAAATTTGGTAACACCCGATACCACTTCTGGTTCACGCTTCGTTCAGTTAACATCTAGTAATACCAGAGAGACTACAATGGTAAGTCCCTAATTTCCTCGTCAAATTTTCTTGGTATACATATATATATATATACACATATGAGAAAGAATTTATTCGATTTATTTATAAAATTCATTTTTTATCATTTACTTTCACTTTACTTTTCCTCAAGCTTCTGATTAATTGTCGATGATGATTTTAAAAGAGATTTTTCACTATTGCGTACTTTCAGATGTTCAAATTGTTAGCAGACTTTTATCGCAAGCTCTTTGCTATTATTTTGTGAATCAGTGCAATTTTCTCGATAATATGTAACGTGTGAAAATAATCAGAGGCGTTTCTTTTGTATTACAGGCAGACCTTAACTCCAGGGATGTCGAAAGTGAGTAAGAATTACGGAAAATACTTAATTTGTGTATTACACGTTGAATCCTATTTGTGCGACAAGGATAGGGGCGGTATTTCAAAGCGATAAGCTGTAAAACGATGAATTTCAAATAGATAGTGGAATATCAAGTGAATTTCGCGGGTAGTTTCAAAACTGCGTGACATAATGCCGGCATGAAAGTGAAGAAAATCGTTTTGCAAAGGGTTGAATATCGTGGAAAGGAGTAATTTAAAAATCAAAAGGAAATATGTGTTGTGGCGCGTTTCTTTGAATATGAACGGTTGAAATTTTTCACCGTGAAGCAAGTTGCATTTAAAATATATTCTAAATTTGTAACGGCAAAGAAAACGAAGCGTTGAAAATTCGTTTGTACTATTTTTCAATTGTGCGTCTCATTTTCTTTGCTGCTACATAGCTTCGAGTGTACAAAACAGTAGATCGGTATGTCGCGTTACGATCGTTACGTAATCGGTAGCAACCGGTAACACAGAAGTATAATCACCCCGAATAAGAAGCACCATTTCAAAAATAGTTAATGCTGTGTTCTTATATGGCTCGGCGGGGGTAATCTGACCCACTACTTCCACCAGTAAATTCTTGAATCTGTCGCTGGGTGGGAACTGCTGCGCCTTAAAATAGAACAATATTTTTGAACCAGGAACGAAACGGAGAGCCACGTTTCAGCTGAGATTAACCCAGATTTTTCACGTTGTGCAATTCTCACTTAAAATCATCGAAAGAAACGTTTTCTTTTTTTTTTTCAATTGTAAATTAAACATTCTTCGTCGATCGTTCGAAACGGACGATTTTTCGAACGTTTGAAAGCCGCGAAACCAGCACGAACAGATTTCGAAACGAATACTGATAAGGGACGATGACTGGAATGCAATATAAAACGCGTGATAAACGTGTCGAATATTATTATTTTCCTTTCTTTGTTAATTTTATTATTTTACATTTGCACACACAGAAGCAGAATTTGCTTTCTCCATCTACGATGCCGACGGTACCAATGTCATCGATGCCGTTGACCTTGGTAGCGTTCTCCGGGCTCTCAACCTGAACCCTACAAACGCCACCATAGAAAAGCTAGGCGGAACAAAAAAGAGGGGCGAGAAGTTGATGAAACTCGACGAATTCTTGCCAATTTACAGCCAATGCAAAAAAGATAAGGAACAGGGATGCTACGAGGATTTCGTCGAGTGTTTGAAACTTTACGACAAACAAGAAAACGGAACTATGCTGGCTGCTGAACTTTCACATACGTTACTTTCACTTGGTATTAATTCGTTTCTGCCTATAATTACGATTTATTCGGGAAAAATATTACGTAGAAATTTGCATATTCTTAATGACATCGAGCAAGTTAAATATATTAATTTCATTGAATATTATTCGAAATTTAAAATGGCTAGTTAATCATTTTCTCTATTCAATTTTCTCCCTTAGCATTGAAATGTAGCTTGTAATTTTGCCTATGGTACTTTTTAGACTCTCGAAACACGCCATAAATTACTAATTTACTTAAATGCAAAATGTATCGACATGCATACGTTTCGTATCAAAATTACTGCATTCAGGGGCAAAGAACAAAATGGACAATTTGATTCCTTGTTCGTTCATTTAAATGACATGAACAAAAAGTTAAAAAGTAATTGTTTTTTTTTTTTTCATAAATTAAGAATGTGCAAAATAATTCAAATCTACCGATAACACATTTGTCATGTATCACATTAGGTGAGCGCCTTTCCGATCCAGAAGTCGAACAGTGCCTGAAAGACTGTATGGACGCAGAAGACGAAGACGGTTTCATCCCCTATGGCCGTAAGTATCAATTCCTCGAAACGGCGATAAATATGCAACTGGCGGTGTAGATGAAGAAAGAAAGAATGTTAGGCGAGTTGCATCAGTGAGTCACATTAATATAGAGCAATACCTATAGTTTCAAGAGAAAGCAACAGTCGACGATAGAGATATGCGTTTGTTTACCAGTTCGTTCTACCAGTAGACGTTAATATTGCAAGTAGAGGATCTAAAACAAAAGGTTGCCCCCACCAGCCCCCTTGTTTCCTAATGTACGGGTGTTTTTGTAGCTTTAGTCCAGTAGTATAATTTTATACAGCTGTCCAAAAATGTCCAGGAAGTCAGGGAGGAATCAATCGATCGATCGTTCGGATCCCCTTAGTTCCCTAATCCCCTATCATTTAACATTTCCACGTGTTTTGTGTTCTACAGCATTCTTGAAGAAGATGATGGTGCTATTGTAAGCAAACTGGAAATCAGTGTGACAAAAATCGCCTTTTCGTAAGTACACCCTGTAGCGTACGTTTCCATCAAGTGTCTGTTTTCTTCTCCCTGTTCTCTTATTCTTCTTCTGTGCTTCACCTCTTACCTTACGAGCTAACAGAATCTTCCATGTTGCCTTCTGTTACGCATATGTCACACATTTTATAGGACGCAACGATTCTACGTGACAGAGGTATGCTGAAATCGATAACCCGCTTCTCATATGCAGCAACACGTACAAAAAAGCTTCAGACTTGAGGCATCTTTGAGATCCGTGACTCAAACCTGTAAATTTTCGGAAAATCAATTTAATCACACTTCTAACGTTCTTACGAACCACAAGAATACAGCTTCGTTATATTTTCAACCATAATGGTTGCAGTTCGTTGTGTCAATTGATCGATGAATCTCTAATGGTAAAAATTATTTACAAACCTGTTTATTTGATTTTCAATTTATTTATAGATAGCTCAATCTTTTGTTCACGTCACGGATTTCTACGAGTTGAAACGAAGCTCTGTTTCAACGATGCATCTCACTGAGATAACATTAATTATCTGTACTACCTCGATGAACGGAGGTTTCCATTTTTTATTTCTCTTCAGTTTCTAATTTCAATCGCAAACGCTTTCTATTAACATTTAACGAACAACGAAATTTGCAAGTGTACACCTTTGCAAAATATCGGAACCTCTCGAGTTTCTCGAAATAAGAATCACGAGATGTAATAAAAACGAAGTATTTCACATGACAATCGTGATTTTGCACATAAAGCTACTTTAATGCTTACCATATTCAGTATGGCTTCTATTTGTTATATTCGGCGCCAAATTCGATCTACATTGTGGTTCACCGGATCCACGATTTTCAAACAATTGTAAACATCCGTTTACAATGCTCTCACTGTTATTTGGCTTCTGCCGTTTCGATTAGGTCAATTATGTTAATATCGGTCTTTTCGTTTTTAGCGTTCCTTAAGAGATTGTGCGGTAAAGCGGCAGAAGACGAATGAAGTAACACCATCTCACTGTAATGTCGATAATCATCCGTCAGCAAACTCCATGTCAACGAGGGACACGTCTGTTCGTCATATTCATCATACTACTCTCATCTTCTGTTAAAAATCATGCGCGGCTAAGCGTGTTGTATTTCATATTTACGCGGTGAAACATCGAATAATAACATTATCATCGTCGAGCGATTTGGGCAAATAAAGAGAAATAAAATCAAATTGATCACCTTTCAAGACAAAACGAAATTTCGTGGAACGAAAACTATATATATATATATACATATACATACATAATATAAAGTACTGTTCGAAGAATGGGCAACATTTATCGTTACTCGATCCGATCTTCAATGTACATCATAAGATATCTGTATTTATAATGAAAGCGATGTATAATATGTTAATATATGTATACTAATATTGTACGAAACCGAATGAAAGTACTGATGTTATTTTACTTCTCACTGTTAATTTAATAAACTGCACCCCCTCGTAACGAAGAATTTTCAAAAGAAATATTTTGTCAACAATACAATCACTGTCGTGTCTTATTTGAACTTTTCAAAAGATGTTCGGATGATATTATATTTATAATGTAAATAAAATCGTAAGAATATGTTTTTTATCAAACTAGAACGACTATATCTTTACAAGAATCACTGATCTATTAGATCTGAAGACTTAAAGATCGATTTAAAAATTAGTACCTTTTACTTAGTCACTTTGATCACTTCTTACATTTTTTTTTCTTCTAGCGATAGTAAAGTTAAGAAAAAATCAGTGATCGTATGAGATAATTCTTCTTATTTATTTTATTACGATATAATGAACAAACGAATATTAATCAAAAACGCTTATTTCGAAAGATAAATAAAAATGTAACGAAAGGTAGAATTAACAAAAATTTTAATCACGATATTCTATTAAAATTGCAATTTTAATTTAAATATTTTACAGTGAAAGAAAACGAATTTTATCAAATTTGCCGCCACTAGCAGATACCCAGTTTTAGTAACTTTCTAATTTATATACTACTACAACTATAAAAAAAATTTTTTTACTTTAAACTGGTAGAGATGGCAAATATTCGTGTCCCAAAGTGAAAGAATTAATGATGAATCAAGGGTAGCGATCTGTCTGACGGAAGGGTGAATGTGCGATGCGCAGATTGCGATTGCTGCATGCGTTTGTGACGCAGCTTGGAGTACCTGAGAATTGCACGAATAGCAGGAGGTTCGTAAATGCTCGGCGATTTCCGATGCCGAGGCGTGGGGCCTTCGGGTGATCCCGGAAAGCCGGCGGTCGAGCCAGTCAGTTCAAACGCGTCGCAAGTGATGCGCGTTACGTCTTTAAATTGCATTGTTGCGCTTTGAATTGGACGGTTTTCTTTCTAACCTTATTTCAATTGGTTCCCGCCGTTACATCGACCCGCGCGACACGTGTGTAGCAAAAGCAGTGCGTTGTAATTGACCACTGCGAGAAAACGGAATTTCTCATCTAAAGAGGAACACTCAAAATCGTCGACCGAGAACATGACGGATGTACAAGTGAATCCAAGCAAGGACGAAGCCAATAGCAATTTGCAGCAGAACGACGACATCGCGCAGCGAACAGGTTGGTGTCTATTACGCGCGCTATTCTCCGAGAAACACTGTTTTTACAAGTAAACATGGATGCACAGCGAAGCTCATTGGTGGAGCACACGTTTCGCCATCTTGGCGAATATTCTGTCAGAAAATCATTTCCTCTTCTGTCAATTATCCCAACTTATTCCAGCGTTTTTCTATGAAATATTTAGCGTTTCATGGGAATCGCTGAAAATTATTCGTACGTTGGAGATACCGTTTGTGTCTTTCATCTTGCAAGCAGTGTTTACTTTCGTCTCGATGAAGCTTTACGTGCATTTAAACGCCAAAAAAACCGGCTCTACTTGAAAGACACATTCACTTGTCAGTTTTACGAATTAGCGAATCAATTTTTAGTGACGTAAAATAATATACGAATATTATTGGATTGTAATGTATGTACATATATGTTATCGAATGAATTGTGTATATTAAGGTGCACGACTGAGAATGTTCTCGATTAATTATTTCTGCGTTCTGAAACGCAAAGAACATTTTACAGAATTTCTGTGGTACTGATAAGAATTGAGATTAAGATAAATGGCAAGATGTTCAAAGATACAACAATATAACGTATCACCTGTTTGAAAGATAGTAAAGATTGATAATAAGATTATAATGCGAAATAAAATGCATCAATAATCTCGAAGTAAATATACGTTTAGGTAACAATATATACTGTACGTGATATTTTAAATATTAGCTGTATCCTTTTATTTTAATAAATTTCACACCAAACGTTATTTTTGTTAATTATATCTAGAAATAATGTCCCTAATATCAAATATATTTGTAATTAAGAGACACTCTAATATACCGAGTGAGTCACGTAAAATGTAGCTGTAGTGATACGAAAACTTTTTATACGTAATTTAAATGATTTCGAAGTCTGAATAAGATGAAAGAAAACTTTTTTTTATAAATATCATTTTACCTGGTTTTCTCAAGGTCATCTATTTTTCTCGCACGAATGTATATATTTGTTTCTACGTGCACATTTAAACATGCATAATAATATGATTTTAAAGTGACCTTGGATTCTAAAATTTTTAATCAAATGTAAAACTTCTTCTCATTTTTCCCCATTTCTTCCATCAAAAAAATTTGTCTTCCGTCTTATTCACTCTTCGAAATCGTTTAAATTAAGTATAAAAAATTTCACGTGGTACACATTTTCAATAATTCCTCAACTGACGTAATAAAATATCGCAGATAAAATTTTGTCGTTGTGCTTTTTTGAACCTAGTACCTCGCGAAAGTCACGTAGGCATTGTATACAAACACGATAGGTATAGTATGTGGTTCGGCGAACCGTATTTAGCTATATAGTAAGTGCAAACGTCCGCGACAGATTTTCAAACCCGATTTTCTCGAAAACCGAGCTTCGGATGAAAAAATTTTGTTCCACATTTTTTATTTATCTTCGCCTGAAGAATCATCTCCCGTCAGCTTGTACATTACTTTCAAACTCACCTTGTATATGTTTACGCCGGCGACTGTACAATGGCCTCGATGCTCGTAGACATTAGAATTACTCATTGTTAGTGCGATGAGAAAACCTAGCGCATAATATTAAGAGTGGAAATTCTTCAAGATGTTGATTAACACGTTGACTGCCAAGCTTATTTTGAAGAAATCTGTTCTAGACGCAAACATTTTTTTTTCGATTTATCGTATAGAATTAAACAAACACATATTAATTTTTATATTGTGACTTTAATTTTTATTGTTTTTTTTTTTTTTTTTTTGCAAAAAAATGCTTTCGTGGTCGGACGTCTCTGAATAGGATGTAACTTCTACCAGCAAACTGCCAACTACGGGTTATCTCGTAGTAGAGTTACCAACGTGTTAACTTGGTGCACTGTACTTATGAGGCCTCCGTTCTCAATTAATTCCTTTTTTATTTCGATTTGCAAGAATCAAATGAATTATGATTATTATCAATTGTGCAAATTTATGCGAAATGGTTACTTTTTAAAAGAAAAATTGGCTCGCTCGTTCAGTCTGAATAGATGCAATGATTTTGTGCGTTAAATGTTAGATTGTACTGAAATGAAGTTATCAATATCTGATCAGGTATACGATAAAAGGGATCGTTTAAACGAAACATAATAAAACTTGTAATACTGACAATCTCGTTTAACATCGGTTGTTAGTAACATTAAGCTATTTGCTAAATTTAATACGCACAACTAGTACGTGAGTACCTATCATTACGCGAATGCTTATCGTTACACAAGTAGGAGGCCAAGGTCCTCCTCGTTACCCATGTCCCGCTTAAACTCCACCGTATGTCTCGATTATTAGAATAATTTCTATACTTTTCTCGAGTTCGTTGAATGTTCAGAGTATGAATAAGAGTTATCTTTCTTTCGATTAATACGATTCGGAATACACTTTTTTAACGCGTGTATTTGTACGAATAAGCAAAGTTATAAATTGTAAATTAATCATTTTTATAAAGTTCACGTATATCAGATAGTATCTGTACATTGGGAAATAAGGAGGTGAAATATTTTTTGATAATGGTATTCTATAGATTTAAATTTCGAGCAAGTAAACGTATCGAAACAATACTATTTATTTGTATTATGTATAGTTGCTTGACGACAGTATCTTTTTCTATGTAAAACTTTTAGCCAGCTAACAATGTGAGCAAACAGGGGAGTTCACACTTCATTAATCTCGACCAACAAGTTGTTAAATAACGACTGAAATTTCATCCATTGCTAGAAGCATTGATTTCATGTTGAAACAGTAACATCAAGTTTGCAATAAGTGAGGTATAAAATATTCATTCCTAAAATAGCAGAATTTTTAAATGTACAACGATCTAGGAATAATAATCTCTGTGCTAATTTTAATTATTAATCAGAAAAATCACTGACCATCTCAAATATCTCTTGAAATATTCTTAACAAAAAAGCATCGTTTTTTAACGGTTCCATTTTTTTTTTTTTTTTTTTTAATATTTCAACACTGATTTTAACTAGCAAATTAAACATACACTGCCGGCCAAAAGTTTGGAATCACCTCCCACTTTTCATCGATATTAAATCTGCTGCGAATTTTTTATAGATTTGAAGTTTATCTCAATTCTACTTTTATCAATTTATCCTATATCAATTGATTCGAGTGATAAAAACTTCTCAAAGTCGCTGATTTTTTTCTGGAAATTTTTGTGTAAATTGCAATGCTCGGTGATTCCAAACTTTTGGCCGGTAGTGTAAGAAAGACCTCTAGGAATAATAATCTCTGTGCTAATTTTAATTATTAATCAGAAAAATCACTGACCATCTCAAATATCTCTTGAAATATTCTTAACAAAAAAGCATCGTTTTTTAACGGTTCCATTTTTTTTTTTAATATTTCAACACTGACTTTAACCAACAAATCAGCCATAAGAAAGACAAATAGATATTAGAATTATTTCGAATATTTCAGTTAAAAATTGAGTTTCCTTTCGTCGTTTATTCGTTATATCGAAATTTTGTATAAAAAGGAATGAGATTCCAGTGGAAATATTCGGCGAGCCTAGTACGCTGTGCCTTGCACAGAATATTGACCAAACTCTTGGCGAAACATCATCACGAGGGACTTCGTGAAATTTCGTAATTACGCATGATTAGTCATGTTTAACATATTAACGAGGCTAGTTTCTCCGTTAACCTGTCGTTTAAACATAGTGAAAGTCAATGGACGATCTATTGTAAACAAGGTTCACCGACCGACAAAGTTCTTTAAATCTACCGACGATGAATACCCGGAAAAACGGGAGAAGCCCTCGACCCCGTCTCGTTCAAGACGCACCTACACAGCATCCGTGATTATCTTCCCACTTCCAAAGCTTTGGAGGGGCATCCTTCTTA